AAATAAAAATTCCATTCACCTGGGCACTAGGAGACTCGAACCTGGGATTCCACGCGTGTATGGTAGAAGCTCTATCGACTGGGCTATGAGTAATCTTAATAAGGAAATTTAAAAGTAAACTTTCCTTATTATGATTACTCATAGCCTAGTCGATAGAGCTTCGGCTTCACACGCGTGGGGTCCACGGTTCGAGTCTCCTAGAGCCCAAGTGAATGGAATACCGCTGAATGTTTCAAAAGTGACCCAACATATCATGTGTTCCTGTATGACTAACAATTCTTTGAGATGGGGGGGGAGGGGAATTACATAATTACATACATTACATTACATAACTCTCGACACAAACTACACAAGGTACAGGCAGTCTAGGGACCCAGCTGCCTAAATGACCACATAATTAAGCTAAACAAGAAAATGCTTAGTGTGACTATTATTTACGTTCTGGGAACTCGGCTACAACAAGTGCATTCCTCGCCATCAACTAATGTTAACACCGCCGTTCTCACCATCACCCACTCAACACCGCCTGCTGGTCCCTACCCTCAATAACTATAACATCGCTCGCTACAAAAATAGTTTTTTTTATTGAATCATAAATTACTGACGTGTAGATTATAGTAAACCACATTGAAAGTCGGAATGGTTTCTATTTGACGCTCTTTACTTCAGCGATAATTTTCTGCCATTATTTCGCCCGTTCCCTCTGCAACCATAGCTGACTAATGCAAACTTTTACTGCACATATCACGCCCATTAGCTGACACACTAGAAACACCAGAGCAAACCAAATAAATCAACCAGTTTCTCTCTCTCACACTCATTCACTCTCACACTCACGTACTCTCACACTCACTCACTCTCACGCTCTCACTCATTCTCTCACTCTCACACATTCTCACTCTCACACACACTCTCACAGAGAAAGAGAGAGAAGAGAGAGAGAGAGAGAGAGAGAGAGAGAGAGAGAGAGAGAGAGAGAGAGAGAGAGAGAGAGAGAGAGAGAGAGAGAGAGAGAGAGAGAGATAGAGAGAGAGAGATAGAGAGAGAGAGAGAGAGAGAGAGAGAGAGAGAGAGAGAGTATTTGTGTGTGTGTGTGTATTCACCTAGTTGTGTGAAGCACAACTAGGTGAATACATGTTGACCAAACCACACACTAGAAAGTGAAGGGACGACGACGTTTCACTCCGTCCTGGACCATTCTCAAGTCGATTGTGAATAGGTGAATGCACACACACCCACACACACACACACACACACACACACACACACACACACACACAGACACACAGACACACAGACACACAGACACACACACACACACACACACACACACACACACACACACACACACACACACACACACACACACACACACACACACACACACACACACACACACACACACACACACATACACACACACAAATACATGGGTGGCGATATACTAAAGAAATTGTTCACGACTTTTGTTAGGCCAAAGCTAGAATGTGCAGCGGTTGTGTGGTGCCCATATCTTAAGAAGCACATCAACAAACTGGAAAAGGTGCATAGACATGCTATTAAGTGGCTCCCAGAACTTAGAGAGAGGTTAGAGGCATTAAATATGCCAAAACTAGAAGACAGAAGAAAAAGAGGTGATATGATCACTACGTACAAAATAGTAACAGGAACTGATAAAATCGATAGGGAAGATTTCCTGAGACCTGGAACTTCAAGAACAAGAGGTCATAGATTTAAACTAGCAAAACACAGATGCAGAAGAAATATAAGAAAATTCACTTTCGCAAACAGAGTGGTAGACGGTTGGAACAAGTTAGAGGAGAAGGTGGTGGAGGCTAAGACCGTCAGTAGTTTCAAAGCGTTATATGACAAAGAGTACTGTGAAGACGGAACACCACGAGCGTAGCTCTCATCCTGTAACTATACTTAGGTAATTACACTTAGGTAATTACACACACACACGCGCGAGTATGCCTTGCCCTCATAGAGTCCCCACCTGAATAAACACATAAGGAAACTGGAAAAGGTTCAGAAGTTTGCGACGAAGCTTGTCCCAGAGTCACGAGGGATGGGATATGAAGAGCGCCTGGAGGAACTGAACCTTACGACACTAGAAAAAAGAAGGGAGAGAGGGATATGATAGGAACAATTAAAATACTCAGGGGAATTGACAAAGTGGAAACAGATGAAATGTTCACACGTAATAGTAACAGAACGAGGGGACATGGGTGGAAGCTGGAAACTCAGATGAGTCACAGAGATGTTAGGAAGTATTCTTTTAGCGTGAGAGTAGTGGAAAAATGGAATGCACTTAAGGACAGGTTGTGGAAGCAAACTCTACTCATAATTTTAAAACTAGATATTATAGGGAAATGGGACAGGAGTCATTGCTGTAAACAACCGATGGTTAGAAATGCGGGATCCAAGAGTCAATGCTCGATCCTGCAAGCACAAATAGGTGAGTACACACACACACACACACACACACACACTCTCACTGATCGGGTAACAACCTCTCATTGACAACAAATTAATTTATATTTAGACAAGAACTTGTCTAGAAATTAGGCTATGGATTTATGAAAGAGCTTATTAGGCACCGTTATGTACGTGGGATCGCTGGATAGGTTTTAAGCAAGAGTTAAAGATGAATATTAGTGTTCATAACTGGGCATAAATAACAGGTGCCTCGCAGTTGGTCAATATTCCTGCCCTTATTGTCTTTATTCCAATAAAGACAATAAAAACCATCCTTATGTTAGAAAGTTGGTTGAGACTGGTTTAATGAGGCTGCTGCACGAGGGTGAAATATGTCATAAAGGCAGACGACCAGTACTTGGTATATTTTCACCGTAGCTGATGCCACTGGCCGCTCAGCCTCTAGCCAGCTTCCTCCACAATTATTATAATGAATAGCAAATCCATCAAGCACTATACCTATGGAACTATTGATAGCTTGCACTAATATGTTGGCTCCTTCTTTTATTGATGAAGTTGTTAACTGAATTCTAATGAGAAAGTGATTTGTCTTTGTTCTTGGGTTTGTGAGTTGCTATTGGTCAAGGGAAGCATGTGGTAGGTGGGGTGTGGGTGGGGAGTGGTAGGTGGGGTGTGGGTGGGGAGTGGCGCTCGGCTGGACCTCCCTGGGCAAAACGTGGTTCAGTAGCTGGCGGAGGACCTCTGTTGATACAACTGCTAAACAATCCGCTGACACTGTTGGTGAAGATATTGCAGCTGTTTATGACATTAGTGTCAATGCGACTAGACTGCAGCTGCATCACGGCTTTTGGTTTTCTACACACACTTTCAACGCCTCAGTTCTCGCCATGAAGGTAATACGAGTTTCATCTTCAAGTACAAACTTTTATATCAGTATGTCTAAGGCCTGTACGACATTTTCCATCCCTCTGTCGACTTTTCTGTCATCGTATATTGCATATTACTGCTCCATTCTCACAAGCACACTCTTGCATGATGATATCCCCTCTCACCCACATATACTGTTATCAGTCTCACCTCCCCGCCCCCACTACATTCTGACACTGCTCATAGGTCCTTTCTATTTTTTATATTAATAATTGCCTTTCTCCTATACTGAAGCACCTTACAATTTCCTTTCCCCCTTTCTCATCTTGCTGTCGTTTGCCTGCCCACTCTCGCTGTCACTCAAGGTCTTCCTCCAGGGAACTATATTCTTATTTGAACTTGTTCCTTGAAGTAGGTCATTAACATAGATTAGGAATAACAGCAGTATGAAGACCGAGGCTGGAGGGACGCCATTTGCTTCATTTTGTAAATGCTCATTTTTTAATTGTGAATGTTTTCTGTTCGTTAGATGCTCTCTTACTAAGTTTAATTCATTTGTTTAGTTTATTTTATTCAATTTATTATCTTGCTTCTTAATCATATGCACTAGTCCTTTGTGACAACTATCAAATGTGTTTTTCCAGTCTAAGACCATGCAATATACCCTTTCCCTCCAGCCGTAAAAGGATAACTTTAACAAAGGTGTCTAATACAATATAAATATTTCCAGTGTGTGGTGCAGGAGCTGGTGAGGTGGGCGGCGACGCTGGTGGTGGTGGTGACGGTGGCAGCCTCCGTCTCTCGCAACACCCGCTATAAGAGACTTACTAACTTGCAAATCAGCGGGACTGTGGCTGCTATAAGAAAGGTAATGCTACACACTGCAATTGTCCTATTAACTAGAATCTATATATGCATGGTTTTCTTTAATGGTGCGGGAATAGAATTTGAAACTATTACTAGTTGAGCTTCCCAGGACTTTATCATGGGGGCCTCTGTTGTTCGCTATATACAGTATATAAATGATTTAAACAAAGGGTTGAAGAGCATCATTAGTAAATTTGAAGGTGATATTAAAACTAGACGGGAAATAAGTTCAGAAGACTCAAAATTCCTACATGATGATTGAGTGGCTTTAAAAATGGACGAAAATTTGGCAGATGCAGTTTAGTGATGACAATGCAGAGTTCTGAACCTAGGGAATGATACTAGAGTTGCCTAATATCAACTGGAGAATGTTGAAACTGCCAATATTATAAATTGACAAATTTGAATAACCTCTAGCTTATTTAGATAGATTGGGTAGATTCCGTAAAAATACGTATCAGATGAGAGTACAAGTTGCTGCACATGTGTCCACCTACCTATAGTCTGTCTTTAGAGCAGTCGCCACTAGCGTGACACACTGGGATGTGTCCTGGCGCTAGCCACTGCCCTTCGATGTCCTGGAGTTGTCTGGGGCGTGTCAATGTAGACCAACGCTGTTGTTAATCAATACCTAATATTGTTCTGAAGGATGGATGGATGACTTAAATGGCAGGGAGAATCCAACGAAGACTGACACACCACTGTCTTGACAATCCAAGATTTTGTGTTTGTTTTAATTGGCCGATTATTTTAATGTGTCAGAACCCAGAAGGACTTACTTTCCGTGCCCTGGTAACCCCAGCACCTTCCCTTACACAGATAAGCAGTAACGTAGAGTGCGGGGCGGCATGTTTGTCCAAATCATGTGACGGGTTCATCATGCAGGGGTCGGGAGGAGGAAGGACGTGCACTGTGTTCTCTACTATCACCATCGCCCTCCCCGCCGCCCAGACATCATCACTCTACGTCCTCTACGTCTCTCTGGACAAAGGTGGGTGTACACCACCGTGTGGGGGAGATGGGCCACACGGGGTCATTACCACAGGAATAGTGCGGTTGAGCTGTGCCTTCCACGAGATGGAAAATGTCAAGTTTATCCAGCTCCTGTGTGATGCTTCATATTTTCTTTGCTGTCCACAAATATATTTTTATGTTTAATTTCGTTCTAAATAGTAACTCCAGTTACAGATTTTGTAAATATGTCAAAGTTGCCCAGAAGGAACTTTCACTGTAAAATTTAACATAACAAATGTTGAATAGGCTGCCTAGAAAGAGCTCTGATTTACGTTTCTAAATGAAGATCTTGTGATTGCCAGCGTCCCATGTAATGTTGATGTTACCATGTTAATGTGTGCCTCTGGTGTTAGTTTTGGAATTAAATCTACTCCCAAATATTTCTCTTTCCAATTCCTGTAGCAGCCTTTCCCTTATGGTGTAGGCACCTACTGGTTTCCTTTCTCCCTTTCCAATTTTCATTACTTTACACTTGCTGGGATTGAATTCCAGCAACTATTTGTTGAATTCCATTTGTTGGGATTGGATTCCAGCAACCAACCAACCTAACAAAGAAGATAAACTAGTGTTGTGGGTAATTTATTTTGCCTCTCAACACACTTTCTCGACTGAATCCTTCACACGGAATATGAATCATAATAATCTGAAGAGAAATCTGAGTATTCTTAAATTAAACAATTCTAACGAATCAGATTATATGAATATACAGAATTTACTACAAGAATCGCTTTCGGAGAACGATACTACTTAAATTAGAAAATAATAAATGAACAATTCGTTCACATAGCTGGGAATGGTAGTGTAGCCTACGTCCTACAGTCCACTCCTGGGATAAGAGGTCTTGTACAGATTTGCAATCGCTGCTCTTACACACCTGCCGAGAGGCCCCTCATCAGAAAAGAATAAATTTACATTTAGATTATAGGCAATGTGTGGCTGATTCGTTGCCTTGCACATGTTGACAGTCAGAGCAATCGGTACCAGTAGCCTAGTCTAAAGAGATCACTTTGTTAATTTCTTGAGTAATATTATCTCAGACATAGCAACACATAAATAGTTTAGTAAATCATTCACCAGGTACTTTTTGTGAGGTTTTTAAAATCCCCATATTATGACCGGAGCTCTAGATTGAAAGTGGTTAATAGCGGACACAATATTATTAACCTGGGTCAAATTAATAAAGCATGGATAAGCCACCAAATATATCCTTTGTTATTGCAGAGACCGGGTGCCCGAGTCAACCCGGGTACCCGGTCTCTATAATACAGTAGACTCAAGTGTCCAGTTTTGAGTGGGCAGTTATTTTGATGTGGCACAGCTGGAACCATGTGACGTCCTAACAGGGATGCGAATTGATCATTGTCGCAATTATTTGTCTTTAATATTAATGTCTGTCATAATTGTTCAACACTTCAGATACTCCTAAACGTTCGGGGTTTCTTCTTATTCGGGAGTGTTGTACATGTTGCTATGGCGGTGTGTGTCCATTTATAGGATGAGTGACGATTTGTTGAACATAGACGATTAAGGTCCGTACGTATAGTTCTGGAGTAGAAGGTCCGTATCGCTACGACGCTGTGAGGGAGACGTTCATTGCCAGATGTACGAGACCGAGAGTTCATCACCTTTCACGAGTTTAAATGAACTCTGGTTTATTTAATTTAGATATTAATTGATCAACAATATACTTGTTATAATTAATACGTAACACTAAGTTAAGGTATATTTCACTAGCAATAATTCATGTGTACTAATATATGATCATATGAAAGCATTGAGATAAGGATAGATGAGAGAGTAATAGAGCGTCAACAGGGCAGGGCGAGGTACATAATATCTGATCTTAGAACGAATGCCAATAGTTTTAGAAACTTTTTTTGCTATATTGTCCCTGGAAATTCAGCTTGTTATCGATGAGGACACCAAGGAATTTACCATCAACTTTACTATTGATTTGTATATTGTTTATTCTTAGATTAATTTAATTTGAGGATTTATTACCAAACAAAAAATAGAAAGTTTTGTCAATGTTAAGGGTGAGTTTGTTAGCAGTTAGCCAAAGATGGGCTTTATTTAGTTCAGTATTCACAGTGACATTTAGAGCAAGCGGGTCAGGACTGGAGAAAATGAAAGTCGTGTCATCAGCAAATAAGATTGGTTTGAGGTGTTGAGAGGCATTTGGAAGGTCATTAATGAAGATGAGAAAGAGGAGAGGGCCAAGCATGCTGCCCTGTGGAACACTAATGTTTATGGGTAGTGGGTAGTGTAGGAGAAATGAAATTATTCACAGAAACATACTGGAGCCTGTCAGTAAGGTAAGACTGAAGGTATTGCAGGGAGTGACCTCTGACTCCATAATGATGTAATTTAAGAAGAAGGTTTTGGTGGTTGACAGTGTCAAAAGCCTTACGTAGGTCCACAAATAACCCAACAGGGAACTCATTTTTATCAAGAGCGTTCATGTGTGCGAAACTGGTGAATATCAGAATAGGCTGCAAGAACAGACAAGGAATCAAAGGGAGGGGTGGAGATAAAAATAACAACGTAACATTCTGGAGGGAAGTTGAGCAAGTCTACGTAGATTTAAAGATATGAATAATCCTAACATTTAATTAAAAATACGAACGACAAACAACACAGTTGATGAAATGTTGAGAAGCAGTACTCTGGAGCTGAAGCTCAACCCCACAAACACAGCTAGATATACAGAGTATTGATGAGCGGTAACACGGCGAGGGCTTACAGGGGTCATCCGGTCACAGGCCCCCCCCCCTCCCTGGCCCTCCACATAACACGACCCTCTGCGTGCTCAAATGACCGCATCCGGTTCCAGATCCCATTCACCCCAGGACCTTGTAATTAACTGACTCATGGTACCATGAATCAGTACCGACATGGTATGGTACCATGTTGGCACCATACCATGTTGGTCATTTATGGTACCGACATCCTGGCGTCTCGGAAGTCATGGCAACCGCCTGCACTCACTAATACACACACTCATAAACCACTTTCGTTGCCCTACTCCGAGAGAAAACTTTCAAATTTATTCCTACACACCACCAGGGGCGCGGAGGAAGGCGAGCCAGGGGCAGGGAAGAAGGCTAGCCAGTGGCGGGGAGGAAGGCGAGCCAGGGGTGGGGAAGAAGGCTAGCCAGTGGCGGGGAGGAAGGCGAGCCAGGGGCAGGAGGAAGGCGAGCCAGGGGCGGGAGGAAGGCGAGCCAGGGGCGGGGAAGAAGGCTAGCTAAGGGCGGGGAGGAAGGCGAGCCAGGGGCGGGGAAGAAGGCTAGCCAAGGGCGGGGAGGAAGGCTAGCCAGTGGCGGGGAGGAAGGCGAGCCAGGGGCGGGATGAAGGCGAGCCAGGGGCGGGAGGAAGGCGAGCCAAGGGCGGGGAGGAAGGCGAGCCAAGGGCGGGGAGGAAGGCGAGCCAAGGGCGGGGAGGAAGGCGAGCCAGGGGCGGGAGGAAGGCGAGTCAAGGGCGGGGAGGAAGGCGAGCCAAGGGCGGGGAGGAAGGCGAGCCAAGGGCGGGAAGGAAAGCGAGCCAGGGGCGGGAAGGAAAGCGAGCCAGGGGCGGGAAGGAAGACGAGCCAGGGGCAGGAAGGGTTGAGGCCACTATCAACAGCCCCAAACTTCCCCACATAATGGTTATATTTTATAGTCAGTAAAATTATCGACAAACAAAATTCCCACCCGATGGGTGTTCCTGATGTCAACAAATCCCAAGTTAATATATCTGGTTTTCTCCCACAGTTGACTACGTGAACAGCCTGGTGCCGAGCTCGTACAACAGTCTCCTCAACAACAAAGATACACAGCTGACCGCGTGTCCCGCCGGTACCGCAATAGGAGCTCTTATCTTGGACAATGGTGACAGCAGGCAGACAAAAGCGAATTATGCCGAGTGTAGACAATTGATTTACGCCCCTGGGTTTGCATTACAATCTGCATATACGAACGTTACGACAGGTCTGATGGGACAAATGTCGTCACAAGCCCAGCAATGTGAAACCGACGCAGTAATGGTTGGTCTAACGGGCTATGATGATAAAATGAGAATTAACAACTGGCAGGAACCATACTACGCTACGGGCCAGTGTCAGCGTCTAGTAGGCTGGAAGGTGGACTATGGACAATGTGTGAAAGTGACCTCCCCGTCCTCCATGCTATGGACAGGACAAAGTTACCCGAGCCAAAGCTCTAGCAGCTGGAATATGTATTTCCTGTGCCCCAACAAGTACCTGGTGGTGGAACTCTCGCGAAAGTGGCTTATGAGTGACAATAAGCCTCAGTATTATAGTGTCTTGTGTTGCTTGGTTATCCCGGCTCTCTGAGTGCAACATATTAGCACCCCCAGCCCCCCCACACCCCAGTCATCAGCACTAATTGGACCAAGCACCACACAGCTGAACAACACTTGGGGGTCGGCCCAATCCTAATCTACGACTAGGATGCTGATCACTGTTTGGCCACTCATCTCACTCATCAAGAGATGCAGAGGTAGAAATATGGATGTACATCTACATCCCTTCATCTACTGGATATAGCTGCAGCAGTGCTAGAATGGGACACTGAATGAAGAAGCAGCAGTGCTGGAACGGGACACTGGATGAAGAGGCAGCAGTGCTGGAACGGGACACTGGATGAAGAGGCAGCAGTGCTGGAACGGGACACTGGATGAAGAGGCAGCAGTGCTGGAACGGGACACTGGATGAAGAGGCAGCAGTGCTGGAACGGGACACTGGATGTAGAGGCGGCAGTGCTGGAACAGATCACTTGATGAAGAGGCAGCAGTGCTGGAACGGATCACTGGATGAAGAGGCAGCAGTGCTGGAACGGAACACTGGATGATCCCGCTGGATCGGATCACATCCAGTGTCCCGTTCCAGCTAGATGGATAGAATTGGATGATATTCCAGCCTCATCTCCAGGACTTCGTTCCAGCAGTGCTGGTAAGGGACACGGGATATAGAAGCTGCAGTGCTGGAAAGGGACATTGGATTTAGAGGCAGCAGGGGTAGAACGAGACACTATATGTAGAGGCAACAGTGCCGGAACAGGACACTGGATATAGAGGCAGCAGTGCTGGAACGGATCACTGGACGAGGAGGCAGCTGTGCTGGAACGGGACACTATATGTAGAGGTAGCAGTGCTGGAACGGATCACTGGACGAGGAGGCAGCAGTGCTGGAACGGGACACTAGATGTACGAGGAAGCAGTGCTGGAACGGAACACTGGATGATCCCGCTGGATCGGATCACATCCAGTGTCCCGTTCCAGCTTGAGGGATGGACTGGGATGATGTTCCACTCATCTCCAGGAATTCGTTCCAGCAGTGCTGGAACGGGACACGGATATAGAGGCTGCAGTGCTGGAACGGAACACTGGACGAGGAGGCAGCAGTGCTGGAACGGATCACTGAACGAGGAAGCAACAGTGCTGGAACGAGACACTGGATGATCCCGCTGGATCGGATCACATCCAGTGTCCCGTTCCAGCTTGAGGGATGGACTGGGATGATGTTCCAGCCTCATCTCCAGGAATTCGTTCCAGCAGTGCTGGAACGGGACACGGGATATAGAGGCTGCAGTGCTGGAACGGATCACTGGACGGGGAGGCAACAGTGCTGGAACGGAACACTATATGTAGAGGCAGCAGTGCTGGAACGGATCACTGGATGAGGAGGCAGCCGTGCTGGAACGGGACACTGGATGAAGAGGCAGCAGTGCTGGAACGGAACAGTATATGTAGAGGTAGCAGTGCTGGAACGGGACACTGGATATAGAGGCAGCAGTGTTGGACATTGCTGGAACGGATCACTAGATGTAGAAGCAGCAGTGCTGGAATGGATCACTAGATGTAGAGGCAGCAGTACTGGAACAGATCACTAGGCATAGAGGCAGCAGTGCTGGAACGGGACACTGGATGAAGAGGCAGCAGTGCTGGAACAGGACACTGGGTATAGAGGCAGCAGTGCTGAAACGGGACACTGGATATAGAGGCAGCAGTGCTGGAACGGATCACTGGATGAAGAGTCAGCAGTGCTGGAACGGGACACTAGATATAGAGTGCAGGAGTGCCGGACAGCAGTGCCGGACAGTGCAGGAACAGACAGCAGTGGCAGCAGTGCCGGACAGTGCTGGAACAGGACACTGGGTATAGAGGCAGCAGTGCTGAAACGGGACACTGGATATAGAGGCAGCAGTGCTGGAACAGGCCACTAGATATAGAGGCAGCAGTGCTGGAATGGATCACTAGATGTAGAAGCAACAGTGCTGGAATGGATAACTAGATGTTGAGGCAACAGTGCTAGAATGGATCACTAGATGTAGAGGCAGCAGTGCTGAAACAGGACACTTGATATAGAGGCAGCAGTGATGATACGGGACAATGGATGAAGAGGGAGCAGTGCTGGAACGGGACACTAGATGTAGAGGCGGAAGTGCTGGAACGAAACACTGGCAGTAGGGGCAGCCGTGCTGGAACGGGCGTTAATGATTGTCGTCTAAATTCAACCTTTCCCGTTTCAACGGTCATTTAACTGCACCCTACACATGGACTTGATGGTCAAGATTATTGTCCGAACAGCATTGTCCATCTTACGGTCGTACATATTCTTGTTGAATGTCCTGACTTCCAGGATGTGCGTTTGCCCTGCTTCCCGACTGTCACTCGCGGTCATTTGTCCCTCGATATAATCCTTGGTGAATCAGATGCCTTTGATATCGCTCGTCTTGTGCACTTTTGTTCTCGTATTGGCATCCTTAGTGATATTTAGCGCCTTTTGAATATCCTGCAACTTTGATGTTGTTACTTAGTCTCCCCGGCTTGGCGCCTTCTTTGGGTAATTACTTGATGACTAAGAGAAACTTTTTAGTTAATTTGGATGAAGTGCAAGTTGCACCAATTTTACGGTAGATTTTGTTTTATATATATATATATATATATATATTATATATATATATATATATATATATATATATATATATATATATATATATATATAGATATATATATATATATATTATATATATATATATTATATATATATATATATATATATATAAAACAAAATCTACCGTAAAATTGGTGCAACTTGCACTTCATCCAAATTAACTAAAAAGTTTCTCTTAGTCATCAAGTAATTACCCATATATATATATATATATATATATATATATATATATATATATATATATATATATATGTCGTACCTAGTAGCCAGAACGCACTTCTCAGCCTACTATTCAAGGCCCGTTTTGCCTAATAAGCCAAGTTTTCCTGAATTAATTGTTTTTCGACTACCTAACCTACCTAACCTAACCTAACCTAACTTTTTCGGCTACCAAACCAAACCTAACCTATAGAGATAGGTTAGGTTAGGTTAGGTAGGGTTGGTTAGGTTCGGTCATATATCTACGTTAATTTTAACTCCAATAAAAAAAAAATTGACCTCATACATAATGAAATGGGTAGCTTTATCATTTCATAAGAAAAAAATTAGAAAAAATATATTAATTCAGGAAAACTTGGCTTATTAGGCAAATCGGGCCTTGCATTGTAGGCCAAAAAGTGAGTTCTGGCTACTAGGTACGACATATATATATATATATATATATATATATATATATATATATATATATATATATATATATATATATATATATATATATATATGTCGTACCTAGTAGCCAGAACGCACTTCTCAGCCTACTATGCAAGGCCCGATTTGCCTAATAAGCCAAGTTTTCATGAATTAATTGTTTTTCGACTACCTAACCTAACTTAACTTTTTTGGCTACCTTACCTAACCTAACCTATAAAGATAGGTTAGGTTAGGTTAGGTAGGGTTGGTTAGGTTCGGTCATATATCTACGTTAATTTAACTCCAATAAAAAATAATTGACCTCATTCATAATGAAATGGGTAGCTTTATCATTTCATAAGAAAAAATTAGAGAAAATATATTAATTCAGGAAAACTTGGCTCATTACGCAAATCGGGCCTTGCATAGTAGGCTGAGAAGTGCGTTCTGGCTACTAGGTACGACATATATATATATATATATATATATATATATATATATATATATATATATATATATATATATATATATATATATATATATATATATATATATATATATATATATATACTATATATAATATATATATATATTATATATATATATATATATATATGCAACAAATGATCACAAAACACTGATCCAAGTATGCAGAATAACCACATATGAAAAATATGTTTATTTTCTCATATGTGGTTATTCTGCATATATATAATTATATTATAATATATATATATATATATATTATATATATATATATATATATATATAATATATATATATATATATATATATATCCATATATATATATTATATATGTATGTGTGTGTGGTGTATGCTTGCGTGATTATTATAATATTAAACTGTTGTTGTAGCCTAGTAATAATAAGATTTTTTAGAGCTCTGCTTGAAAGATTTTAAAGTCAGTAACTCATTTCGAATCTTATTATTGATTGTGGATTGAAACTTATTATTAATCGATAAAACTAATTATCGATTGTGTTCATTAAGTGCAAACTGTTTGCCAGAGTTGGAAGTATACCCCAAGGGGATACTCACAGTAAAGTAAACTTTGAACTGAACCAAGTATGATTATGTAATGAATATTATAGCTAAATGAGGTTACCCTTGATGAGGTCATGTATATAATTCTTTCACTATTAAATATCACTGTTGTTTTAAGATGTTTTTGCCAATCCCCCTCAATTTCAGTGACATGCCATGCTATGAGTACGGGTTGTAGTGAACTCGGAGTATACCGAGTAGAGTTCAAAACAGTGACACTACGAAGGAATTCGGAACATAAATTGAAAAGGGACTAGGTGGTGGCTCTAACAATATATGGTTCCTGGCCAAACATATGTCGATACCGGACATAAGCCATAGGTATACCAGGAGCGCCTCAATGGTATTTGTGGATATAAATAGGAGCTGCCTCCTATGGGCCAAAAGTGCTTCTGCAGTTACCTTCATTCTAATGCTCATACGTATTGTTGACGGTGCTAGTGTAGGCTTGCTGGCCAGAGGAGGCCAGGAAGGACAAAGCGGGGCATATTAGTTTCTCCGAATTTATTTATCTGCTACTTGGATCCTGAAATCACCCTGAAGGTGATTTCAGGGTCCATTCCTTGGCACTAGAGAGGGGAGGTGTTACACTCTGATGAATAAACTTTGTCGGCGTAACCCACTGAGTGGTTTACACGGGTTTTCACGCCATTATGTCCTCATTTCACTCTACCACCCTCTCGGGATATTTGGTAGACTTGCTCGGAGTCTCTTGAGGTCACTGGGTGACCCCAGGGGTAATGTGCTGACCCATACGATACCTCGACAAAAACACGGAGGCTGTAGTTCACAAAGTGGTACCGCAACACTGGACACTTGAAAGAGAGGCAGAAATGCTGGAACGGAACACTTGAGACAGGCAGAAGTGCTAGAACGGAACACTTGAGACAGAGGCAGAAGTGCTAGAACGGAACACTTGAGACAGAGGCAGAAGTGCTAGAACGGAACACTTGAGACAGAGGCAGAAGTGCTAGAACGGGGCACTTGAGAAAGAGGACAACACCGAACAACTGAGATTGCCGTAATTTACTTAAATAGATCTGAAAAAAGAACTAGCCTAAAAATTAGGGAAATTCGCAGATGTCACAGAATTAAAATAAGAATTTTACTGTATTATTGTTTTAGAAAACAAAATTGACATTAAGGATCCTAAAAGCCTGGAAAAGTTTAGCAAGCCCTACAGAATAGGGTTACCTTGAGATGATTTCGGGGCTTAGCGTCCCCGCGGCCCGGTCCTCGGCCAGGCCTCCTGAAAGGTAAACTCCTCAGGATAACACCAGTGAGTTTTTAAAGTTCAGTTTGACCATAGATTTGTGATTATAAAAAATCACTTTTCCTGTCACAGCGAAGAATCTAAGATTACATTTGGGATATTGCAACTTTAACCCAATTTCATATATTTTAGTGATTTCATCATCGACAAATTCTACCACTTACCATTTCGAAGTTTAAAACATTGCACTTAATATTTCTGTCAAGATCTGCAATGGGATAAGGACTTGAAGAAATTTTTGTTAACCTCAACGTCTAGGTTTTTGA